TAACTGCCGGAGGCCGCGCCGGCTCTGACGGGTCCAGGGGTCCCTGAAGGATGGACGGTGTCGGCGAAAGAGAATTAGAGAGCCCCGAGATTCTTTCTGATCACCAGGCAGGCATCTCTGTCCTGTCAGTTTTAGTGTCTTTATTTATAGGTTAAATGATAACATGACATCAGAAAAAGGAATTTTTACAATGGATAACTCTTTGTGATAAGATGCTTTGGAAAGTGTACAGAAGCAGGTTTTACAGACATATTCTTGCAGAACTATTCCAATTATAGTGAGGTTAAGTAAATCTTATAACTAAAGATTTAGCAGGGTATTCTTAGTAAAAGACAGGATACATATTTTTTCTAAGTTAATCACGCTAAGGTTAGGTCATAGGTTAAGTGTATAGATGGGCTAAGAGTCATTCGGTCTGGCTCTCAAATGAATGTTTCTGAGTTGGTTAATAAGTTGTTTGTGGAAATCTATTTGATGCTGAATGTGTGAACACCATGGAGGCCCTAAATGTGTCAGCCTTTTGTTTGTGGGTAATGCTTTAGCTACTCTTATCTATCCTCATCCCAGCCACCTGTAAGGGAGGGTGTTTGCAGAAAGTAGGCCTTGGGGAAGGGACGGCCATACATCACCAATTAGGAGAAGGTGTAAGTATTAACTTAAGTTCTGCCCTTATCTGTACCTTAACTCTAAATTAGGCTCTTTGTCTCGGGGCCAGGCTCAGTTGTAATTCTTGTGTCCTTAACCCTCTAAGTCTTGGATCTGCAAGGCCCTTAGGAAGAGCCTTTTGACAATCATCCATAGAGCTTTCATCTAAAATCTCTCTTGTAAAGGTAGGAATATGCTTTTCCTTATGAGGTATCTGTGTTCAGAATATTGGTCTGATATGGAATATTGTGAGGCCTGGTCAATACCAGCACAACACGAGCCAGTAGTAGCAGGAGATCCCAGCTTTCATTTCTCATGGCGGTAGCTGTGCAAACACTGCCATTTCCTTGCTGTGACTGCCATCCATAGAGGCCAGTGCGGCTCCCAGCAGCTAACTTAAAACAAACAAAATTAAACAAAATAAACTGAATCCTATCTTTCTCCTGCTTAAATCCAGTTCTGAAGCAAGCCCTGGTGACTTCATCCTGTAAACAAATAACGACTCCGTCAACCTCCATTCTCCTCGTCCATCTCCACCTTTGCCCCAACCCTGACTGTGGCCTCCTCAGGGGCCTGTGGTCCATCCTGGGCTCCTCACACAGTGGCGAGAATAAGCCTTTAAAATAGAAACCAATATGTGTCATTCTTCTGTTTGCAACCTCCCAAAGGCTTCCCATTTCTCTTGGAAAGAAATTTGTTCACCTAGAATACATTCTCCATGGTGGTCACTTGAGGTGGCCGCTGACCGTGTCTCAGTGTCCTCTATCGGGCCACACCATCCTTCTTTCTGGCCTTCAAATGTGCCTGGTTTGTGCTACTCGGTGTCTTTGTCCTGTGGATTCTTCCGCCCGACCCCTGGCGTGGCTGACCGGCCTCGCCTTCGATGTCTCTTCAGACCAGGCTTCCCTGTGCCCCTAGACTGTGCTGCTGCTCCGCCCATTTCTGAGGTCCTCTCAGCTTCGTCTGCTATTTTCTTCTTGTCCTCTCTCTATTTATTGCCTTCTCTTCTCCTCAGAGGAAGTTCCGTGAGGGCAGGGATTTCTGTGTGCTTTGTTCTCTCCTCTACCTCCAGTGCCTAAAACAGTGCCTGGTTAGGATTCGGTGCCCACATTTGCTCACCGGTGGACTAAATGAAGACAGCTCTACCTGGACCTTCCTTTGCTCCTAGGGTAAAGTACCAAATTTTAACCAGAGCCTACGTACATTTTGTGGGAAAGTGGGGAAGCTTTCCTCAAGGCCAGCACTCAGGAGGTACTAATCTCTAATTTTCTGAGTGCTGTGGAGAACTGGTCAAATCCAACAAATAAGTAGACTTCCTCCATCCCCTCCCAACCCAGCATCTGACTTAGTCACTTTCAGCCCCTGACCACAGACACAAGGTCTGACAAAACTTGGTGCCTGCATTGGTCAGATTTAAATTCCTTCAGGACACCAGAATTATAAGGTAAAAGAAAAGATCAATGGCAATCATACACCATTTTAGAAAAACACATCCAGGGACACCTGGGTGGCTCAGTTGTTTGAGTGTCTGACTTGAGCTCAAGTCATGATTTCATGGTTTGTGGGTTTGAGACCCATGTCAGGCTCTGTGCTAATAGCTCAGAGCGTGGAGCCTGCTTCGGATTCTGTATCTCCCTCTCTCTCTGCTCTCGCCTGCTCCTACTCTGTCTCTCTCTCAAAAAAAAAGCATTAAAAAAATTAGAAAAAAGGAAAATACATCCATTTTTAAAAATATTTTTTTATAAATAGTTTTTGTCAAGTTGGTTTCCATATAACACCCAGTGCTCATCCCCACAAGTGCCCTCCTCCATGCCCATCACCCTCCTCCCCCCCACACCCATCAGTTCTCAGTTTGTTCTCAGCATTCAAGAGTCTCTCATGGTTTGCCTCCCTCCCTCTCCCCCACTATTTTCCCCCTTCTTCTCCCTCACGGTCCTCCTTTAAGTTCCTCCTAATCCTCCTATACGTGTAAACATATGGTACCTGTCCTTCTCTGCCTGACTTATTTCGCTCAGCATAACACCCTCAAGTTCCATCCATGTTGCTACATATGGCCAGATTTCATTTTTTCTCATTGCCATTTAGTATTCCATTTTATAGATAAACCACATCTTCTTGATCCATTTTTCTTTTGATGGACACTTAGGCTCTTTCCATGTTTTGGCTATTGTTGAGAGTGCTGCTATGAACATTGAGGTACATGTGCTCCTATGCATCAGCACTCCTATATCCCTTGGGTAAATTCCTAGCAGTTCTCTTGCTGGGTCATAGGGGAGTTCTATTGTTAATTTTTAGAAAAATCAAAAATACAAGCACAAAAAGAGAAGATTTTGAAGCATCTTCAAACATGTAATAACTATAGTGATATAACTAATAATATTTTTGTATATCCTACTATATAATTCCCCATGCAAATAGAGACATATAATTTCTAAAAATAGAGTTACATTATACATAACTATTGTGTTACCTTCACAATAAATCTTGAGCTCTCCAACATAATTTTTTTAATGTTTATTTATTTTAGAGAGAGAGAGAAAGAGAGACAGAGTATGAGTGGGGGAGGAGAGAGAGAGAGGGAGACAGAAGAATTTGAAGCAGGATCCAGGCTCTGAGCTGTCAGCACAGAGCCCGACGCGTGGCTTAAACTCAGAGCCGTGAGATCATGACCTAAGCCGCAGTCAGCTGCTCAATCAACTGAGACACAAAAGGCATCCATCTCCAACATAATTTGTTATAGTTGTGTTAGTATCCCATTGTATAAATATTGCATAACTTAACTTCTTTCATTTAGGAAACATTTACCGAGCACTGTTATGTGCCAGGTAAAATCCCTTATCTCATGGGCCTTACAGGCAAGAGAAATAGAAAGAATCTGAACAAATACAATACTCAATGTCATTTCAGCATTTTGAATAATTGAAAAATGAAAACCATGAAGGAAAAAATCTAACACATGCATAGAATTATTGTTTTAACTTAAAACAAGGGTCAGCAAACTGTAGCCGACAAGGCGAATCAGCTCACTGCCCATTTTTGTGTGGCTGGTGAGTCAAGAATGATTTTTGCACTTTTAAATGCTTGCAAAAAAATTAAAAAATAAAAACAATATTTTGTGACGTGTGAAAATTATATGAAATTCAAAATAAATAGTGTCCAAAATAAGGTTTCTGGAACACAGCAATGCACTTTTCACTTATGGATTGTCTAGGACAGCTTTTGGGCTGAGATGGCAGGTTTGAATAGTTGGGACAGAGACTAACTAAAGCCTAAAATAACTACTGTTTGGCCCTTTCCAGAAAAAGGCCTGAAGACCCCAATTTAAAACATGTATATGAATCCTCACTCACTAATCTTTTCCAGTGAGGCTCAGTTTTAATTCTTTGGGACGGCCTGCTGATTGGCATCATACCTTATTTGTCTTGCATAAACTATACCCGTATTTAGAGTGACCTTTTAATTTATCACCCAAACTGGATGCTTCTGAGAATGAAAGGGGGCACTAAGCCAGGAGGAGCACCAGGAGGTGTAAACAGAGACTGTTCTGGACTGTAAATGAGGTCACCCTACCCATCGTGCATATGTTCTATTTGCCATAATGCATTTGTATTATGTCCCATAATGCATGCGTACTTATTTGGGTGTCTTAACGTGGAGAGGGGAATCTAAAACTTTTAAAACTTTTCACTTCTCTGTCATAGCTGATTTGACACCAGCTTTTTTAAAAAAAATTTTTTAGGAGCTTACCTTTATTGAGTCTTTCCAGAGCATTCAACCTCGTTTTCATAGGAGCAACTTACTTTTTACGTTCATGATTGATTTAGTATGATGTTAGATGACGTAATTACAATAGCAAATACAACTTACATAAACAAGTGACAATTGTCGTGGTTTTCCAGAGAAAGGGTGAAGGTTATTAAGTTATCCCCAAGTTGGTTGAAATGGAGACTGGTTAAGACAGCTTCTACTGTTTTTATACAACAACCGAATTACACTCTTGATATGTTACCAAGCAAGAAGTATGAAAACATTGAGCAGTCCCTGGCATCAAGGAAGTTTCCCGAGATGGGCAGGGACTATTGTTGGTGGCCTTTTTGGTTGATTCCAGTTTTTCGTTATTGTAATTAGTATTATGGTGGATATTCTTGAGACTGCACACTTGCTAGCTTATTTTCTTCAGTTAAATTTCTATGAGCAAAACTCACCTTTGTTACAGGGAGACCCCTATGAGGAGATATCAGGAAGCTTGGAGAGGAGAGATCTGGAGAGAGGAGTACTTTGTGACTAGTTGAAAGCAATCTCATACACAAAATGTTCTCCTGACTTGTTGACTGCAACGAGTAATAAATGACTTGTGCCATTTTTAAAGGCATTTATTACAGCTCTCTATCTCTATAAACCAAATTCCGGACCAGTTCCATGAGAGCAACACTCATAGTTACAGAGACCATGGTGTGGAGAGGTCCCCCCTTCTCCGTGGTTTCAGTTATCTGAGTTCAACTACAGTCCAGAAGCAGATGATCTTCCTGATACGGTGTGAGATGTATGTCACAGTGCCTTCAACATTCATCTCACTTGCTCTTGTCATGTAGACATTTTATCATCCTGCATCATCATAAGAAGAAGGATGAGGACAGTACAGTAAGATATTTTGAGAGAGAGACCTCATTCACATAACTTTCATTGTAGTACAGCATTAAAATTGCTCTATTTTATTAGTATTGCTGTTAATCTCTTACTATGCCTAATTTATAAATTAAGCCTTGTCATAGGTATGTATGTAAAGGAAAAACATACAGTACATACATGTAGGTTCAGTGCTATCTGTGGGTTCAGGGCATCCTCTGGGGGTCTTGGAATGTGTCCCCGGCCTGGTAAGGGCAAGGAGAGGGGGCTACTGTAATTACTTTCAAAGTACAGTGACATGATCACAGGCCCAGATTGTCATTTCACATTCTGACTGTTTAATGGACCTGTTTGAAGTTACTCACTATATTCTGATCCTCCAGAGTAAGAGGATGTGGCTGGAAAATGCTTCCTCACTGCTCAAGGGGCCTGTAGAGTCCATGGCACACCAGCCATTCTCCTGTCTGGTCCCTGGTCTCCTGAGAAAGCCTTTTCCTTCACTGTGGAACCTTCAGAACAGGAAGCAGAGAGGCCTGTTTGTGAATCATTGATGTCGTCATCAGACATAGTGTTCTTCTCAGTCTTTTGAAGCAGAACGGTGGGAAAAGTTTTCCTGGAAAGCTATGCCCCTGAACAGCTGAATCCTGAACAGCTACCATAATAACTTTGCTGCTTGAACTTCAGGCTCCCATTTGGTTAAAAAGCAAGCCCAAGAGACTGCTCAGTCTTTTACTGCTTCGTGCTAATTGTATGCTCGCAGACGCTGTTTTCTCTTGTTAGTGGCTGCGGCAGACACACACAAAAATGGTCCCCCTGATAGATATCAAATTTTGGAAACTGTGAATCCTACTTTATTGGGAAAAGGGGCCTTTGCAGGTTAAGTATCTTGAGATGAGATTTATGTTTTTAAGTATTTATTTATTTAAGTAATCTCTACACCCTGTGTGGGGCTCAAACTCATGACCCCGAGATTAAGAGTCCCATGCTTTTCTGACTGAGCCAGCCCGGAGCCCCTAGAGTCTGTGGGTGACTTGTTTCAGCAGCCACAGGAAGCAAATACACTGGCTTTTTATAATCCCGTCTTCACCGTTTCTGAAGGCTGCTGCTCTCTCAGACATCTGCTGAGCTGCTCTCCTCTGATAACTGTCAGTGTTTTTTAACAAAGATTTAGACCAGCAAATTAAAGCCTTTGGGTAAGGCTCAGGCAACGATACTTTTTAAAACTCCACTGGTGGCTGTGACTTCAGCCTGACTCTGAACCCACTGCCTCTGGCCCAGGAGATAGGTCCTGGTCCACCGCCATGCCCTGGGCTTGGCCTGTCTGGTAGAAGCACGATTGCATGTTTGTCTTATTTCCTGCATTTTTCTAGAAGCTCTTGAAGCCTGTCCTGCTCAGATATTAGTGTTAAACACACGCGGCTAGGCCCACCTTTAGCATTTTGCACTCGGTTGGTGCCCAGTGAGGCCTCAGAATATGCATTTTCGACCAGGTCAGGTGATGCTGCAGACCTCGGGTTGGGCAAGCCTGGAAGATAACCAGAACTCTCTGTTTTGTCTTCCTCCTTTTTGAACTTTCAGCAGCTTGGAACGTAGATAGTGCTCTGCTCTCAATAATAGTCAGTACCAGCATTTTGTTAAGCCCTTGAAGACAAGGACCTCATCTTACCCCTTTTTTCTATGTCTTTAGCGCTCTGTGAGTGCCAAGCACGGGGGTGCCAGCGGGAGACATATTAAAAGGCAGGTGTGCCAGCAAAACTGTCATCTGTCAGAGGTGCCCGCACTTCACAGGAAGGGCCAAGGGTTGGCAGAAGCCCCTCCTTAAGAAAATTATTGTATTGTTGGGGACTGTCGTCAGAAAGACGGGGACCACCAACTGACCTGTGAGCTGGACCCGGGCACCCCCTCTCCTGTCCCACGTGCCTTCCCCGCTCCCAGAGGCTGCTCCGAGGACACAGCGTTGAGGGGGCAATGTGGTGTTAAAAACCACCAGTGCACGTGACTGGGCCTGGTGAGGGCCGCTTGGTAACCTTCGAAGCTTTGGAGGGTGGGTGTGGGGTCCTTTTGTCTTACTGTCACCCGAGATAAGCCTCAGATGAAAGATCCCTTTGGTGTTGTTAAAACTGCCACCTACGCACCTGGAGTGGCCTGTCGCTTTCTTCGTCTCTCCTCCTCAAGTCATGCTCAGTCTCTTAAATAGGCCTCGGACCAACTACAGGTTTGGAAGGAGTGACAGGTGGTAGTCTGCTTAGTTTACCCACTCGTCTCGGTCTAGCCTTGCACTCTGCGGATGACCTTGTCATGATCAGGGTGACGGAAGCATTTGTGGGTGATATCAGAAGGAGGCGCAGACCCGTAGGATGTTGGGGGTGGGTAGCGTGGGGGCGGGGAAGAGCGATGCTTGACATTTTGAAGACAAAGTCTGTCTCGATCAGAGTTTTGTTAGGCCAAACCGGCTCCAAGAAAGTGTGAGAGAACCTGTTTTCTGGTTTTCGTGCATCATCTTGCCAGGGTGGCCTGCCCTGGAGAAGCATGCCCCTGAAGCGTCTGCTTTTCTTTGCTCTCGCAAGCTCATTAACGGCGTTTTCCCGGAGACCCAGAAATAGCAAATTCCATTAAAAGGCTTATCATTAAACACAATACAGCTCTTTATGAGGGAGAAGGATGGTCTCTGAATAAGAGTCCATTAGGGCTGTGGGCCGGAAAAAATGGGTCAGCTTTCTTTTAAAGGAGAAATTAATACAGCAGGCAAGCCAGCTATACTGCCGACATTCATCTTGCAAAGCTTTTCCTCTCCACGCTGCCAAAGTGCTCCTGTCCAGACTTGCTATTCCTGTCCTCAGCCTCCTGGAGCAGGGCCCATTTGTCCTAAGGAAGCCTATCAAATTAGCCGGCGACAGCCTAAATAAATATGAGTGGGGAGATTAGAACTGAGTATAGAGCTGTGTGTGTGTGTGAGTGTCTGTGTGTGCGCGTGCACGCGCACGTGCACACACACGTGTGTATTTGTGAGCAAATGTAAACCAAACCAGGCCTCAGGAAAGCAAATGATAATCAGCAACTCATTTGCTGACCCCTCTCCCCTTTGGTGGGTCCTAATGTGAGTTCCATGAAAAGTGGTTCATAGCCACATCCATGAGATGCTGTCCCCAGAGAAGAGCTGATAGAAGCTTGTCTCCATTACAGCAGGTAAGGCTTAAAAGGGCTGTGCAGTATGCAGTGTCCTCACTGTGACTTAGGCAAGATGAGGCACAGGGCCTGGTGGGACCTTGATAGCTGGACTTGACCGGCAGGGGAATAACTAGCACTGAACAACAGGAGCCAGGAAGTGAACGTCCCATTGAGACGCCAGGGACGCAGTGTCTGAAAAGCCTAGACAACACAAGCGTGAGTCAGGCTCATGTCTGCAATGGGAGAGTTCTTCGGCTGTGTGGGCCAGAACAATGAGGGGTTCTAGAAGGTGGGTGATTCAGAATTCAGGGGAGCTGGCTGGTAGAAGTAGGTGTTTGGAATTCTGTCCAAATTCAGCAGGATCACCTCCTAATAGAGCATGGACAGAGAGACCCAACTCAACAAAAGGAAGGATTTGGCCGTGCTGGGTTCCTAGGAAACAACACGGAGAATTTAAGGAGTTTGTAAGATATTCAAGGGGGAAATATCTTGTGGGAAATTCAATATATAGTTGTGCTAGTTTGGATGTTTGCATTAGTGTTCAGCAAATACTCCCCCATCCCACGAGCAGAGATTATCTCCTTATCCCATTGATGATGGGCTTCTTCTTGAACTTGCTTTGGTCTATGGAATGTTAGAGGCTGTGAATACAGCCAGAGGCCTTCAATGTGCTTGTACTGTTTTGAGATTGCCATGAGAAAGCCATGTGCTAAGTGGCCACGGTCCCTATAGTCTGGCTCCAAAGGAACAGACCTGAATCTGGCTCTCACAGCTTGGAGCCAACCCCAGATGGTTCAAAATCTGTAACATGGGGCAGATCCACTATCCACTCACCCAAGCCCAGTCTAGATCAACTCAACCGCAGTTAGCCTGCATGAGAAAAAAAAAATGCTTCTTGTCATAAGTCATTGAGTTCAGGGATAGTTTGTTTTGCAGCTATGGGCAGTCCCTAAGACAATAGGGTTGGACTTAAGAAGAAATAGCTAGACTAGAGACTGGATTTTAGAAGTTATTGATTTATTGGGGGATAGTTTGTTCATTTACTCCTTCACTCAGTAAATATTTGGTACAAACTGATTCTGTGCTGGTTACTTCCATTCATTACTGTGGAGATTGTTTAAAATCCTTGTGGAAATAGGTCTTTTGGCAGCTTTCCCAGGGAGGTTTTGCAGCATTGGAACAAAAGGCTGTCAAAAATGGAACCTTTGGGATCCGCCACCCTATAAAAGAGAGAGCCCGAGAGAGGTATTGAGAGACATAAGTGAAGCTGGTGTTTCACTCGGGAGGAGAGGCCTTCAAGAGGGAGTGTTGACTGGTGGCACGTGGTGTAGGGATGGAAGGTGGGTTGAGTCCTGAAAGAGAAGCCATTATAATTGGTCATTGGTGACCTGGACGTCATTAGAATGATGGGCCGCGGTTGGGAGAGCCTGGCACAGGGAGCCAAATGTTGGCATCGGTATTAGTTGGTTCAGGCTGCCATAACAGAATACCACAGACCATGTTGCTTAAACAATAGAAATTTATTATCACAGTTCAGGAGGCTGGAAGTTCAAGATCAAGGTGCCAGTGGTATTGGTTTCTGTTGAGAGGGATCTCTTCCTGTCTTTTAGACAGCCCCTTCTTGCTGTGTCCGCACAATGCTTTCCACTGTGCACGTGTGGTGAGAGGTTTGTGGTGTGTCTCCCTTTTCTTATTGGGACGCTAGTCCTCCTAGATTAGGGCCCCACCCTTATGACCTTATTTAACTTTAATTACCTTTTTAAAGGCCCTCTCTCCAAATACAGTCACACAGGGGTTAATAATTCAATGTATGAATCTGGGAGGGTGCCCGATTCAGCCTCTAACAGCATCAGAAGACTTGGGTGTGGCTCCAGCTTTGCCACTGCTTGGATCACCCCTGTGAAATTCCCCGAGGACTCCCTCTCTGGATCTGTCTAATGGGCACAGTGCCCACCTCACCTGCCTGCCTCAGGGTTGCTGCAGGGAGAAACTTGTGCCTCTTTGCTGCTGCTTTTGGTTACCTTTTCCATCTATTTTCCTTGGGAAGAGGAGCTCCCCAGCTGTCCCTGCCCACCCCCATCTATGTTCCTGCCATTCACCTAGCTCACTCTTCTGAAGATGGGGAGACATCCCTTCCCCCCTGGCGTTCAGCCACCGTAGAAAGAGCTCTGAAGGCTATCTCATGCTTTAGCTTCCTTCCATTCCCTACTATGGGGGAACAGGCCACTTGTTTCTGAGGTTTCTGTGTCAGAGAACACATGATAGCCATCACCTTGAGCTTGCTTTGTGTCATCAGTCAACCAGAGCCTAGGATGCAGCCCAGGA